GGCTCCCTGCCGCCTCTTGGGTAAAATATAGATCCTCATGTTTGCTTTTTTGTAGCCCTTCACAGTCTAGGTCCAGACCACCCTCCCACATCATTTTCCTTTCACCCCGATTCTCCTTCCTGTACCTGACCTTATGGCCAGCCGGGCCTCCTTGCTGTCTGTCCCCTCTACACACTCCTCTCCCATCTCCACACTTTTATACAAGCTGTTCTTCATACTTGGAATGCCATCCTTCCTCACCTCTGCCTCCAGGAATCCCCAGACTCCTCAAAATACAACTTGTGCACCACCTCTTTGTAGACATTTGTACTGCCTCTCTCCCCTACTAGTAATGGCCCCTGGAAATGATTTAGTATATCTTTATATATTGAACTCTCTGGATTAAGAAAGTCAGCATAGCAGAGTGGAGAGAGTTGGCCGAGCAGCCAGAAAGACTTGGGTTCAAGTCTTTGCTGTGTGACCCTGGCCAAGTCACTCAACCTGGGAGTGCCCTAGGTAACTCTGAAACTCTTAGTCTCTTGAAGAGGAGGTTCCAACCTGTATTTAGAGAGGGAATTGTCTCACCCCAGAGTTCCTTACACCAAGGAAATCACAGTCTGGTCCCAATCTCTCCTCCTGATTTTCTGTATACGTGTTGTATCCTCCAGAAGAATGTAAGCTTCTTGAGGGCAGGGGCTATCTTGCTTGTCTTTGTATCCCCAGTACTTCACACGATGTCTATCACATAATAAGTGACTAACAATGCTCTCTCCCTGTCTTTCTTTGTCTGTCTCTCTGTCTGCCTCTCTGCCTCTCTCTCCCTGTGTCTATCTCTCTCTGCCTGTCTCTGTTTGTCTTTTTGTCTCTCTGCCCCCCCACCTGTCTGTCTTTGTCTCTCTCTGTCTGTCTATCTCTTTCTGCCTCTCTCTCTCTATTTCTCTCTGCCTGTCTCTGTCTCTCTGTCTCTCTGCCTATCTCTGTCTCTGTCTCTCTGTCTCTCTGCCTCTCTCTCTCTGTCTCCCCACCCCCAAAGGGGCGAGCTGTGGGAGCCAGGCCAGTTCCCCCTTTACAGACACACGAAGCTTCTCTGACCTGCTCCTACCTGTGCTCCTACCTGCTCGTACCTGCCCCAGGAGAGAGGCGGAGCAGCTTGATCTCAGGCCGCCACCTGGTGGCCTCGGCAGAGATCGTACCCTGAGTAGAGGTTTGTCCTTTGGGCTCCAAGCACAAAGCAGGTGTCTAGTGCATGAGACCGCCTTCCCCTCCCCTACTCCGCTCCTATTGATAACTTCCTCTTTCAAAAGATGGAGGAAGCAACAAGCAGATCGGCTATTCTGGCCCAGGTTCTGTCAAAGTGCTCCAAGAAAGCGGAGACGGAAGGGGATGGCCAGGATCTAAATGCAGAAAGATGGAGGGACAGCCAGGAGGCCAGGGACATTGGGTCAAAGGGTCGGGAACTAAGGTGTGAGAAGGGTGTGGGGAGGGCCAGGTTGTGAGGGGCTTTGAAAGCCAAATAAAGCATCATGGAGGCAATAAGTAGCTGCTGGGGTTTAGTGTGTGTGTGTGTGTGTGTGTGTGTGTGTGTGTGTGTGTGTGTGAGAGAGAGAGAGAGAGAGAGAGAGAGAGAGACAGAGAGACAGAGAGACAGAGAGAGAGAGAGAGAGTGTATGTGTGAGTGTGTAGGAGTGACATGGTCAGACTGGTGCTTTAGGAAAATCATTTTAGTGGCTGAATGGAGGATAAACCTTTATGTGGAGACATCATGGCAGGTCCACTCCTTCCCTGCCCCCAGCAGGTATGGCAATAGGCCAGGCACCAGGTGACCAGGGCCTGTGGGGATGCGGGCGTTGGGGTGGGAGTGTCAGAGAAGAGAAGGGTGTGTATGAGAGAGGTGCTGCAGATCTGGCATGGCCACTGGGCTCAATGTGGGGGATAAGAGACAGTGAGGCATCCAGAATGACCCCCGGGTTGGCAGTCTGACGGACTAGAGGAGGGTGTTGTCCTCCATAATAACAGGGGAAGGAAGAGAGGGGGAGGGTTAGGGGGAAAGATAATAAGTTTCATTTTGGACATGCTGAGCTTAAGACGTCTACAAGATATGCAGTTCAAGATGTCTAGAAGGCAGGTGAAGATGCAAGATCGGAGATGAGCAGAGAGTTCAGGGCAGGGAAGGTAGGTTTGAGCACCATCAGCACAGATGATAATTACATCCATGGTAGCTGATGAGATCACCCAGGGAAGTGGTCTGGAGCAAGAAGAGAAGATCCAGGACAGAGCCCTGGGCATCACCTAGGGTCAGAAGGCCTAATCTGGAGGAAGATCCAGGAAAAGAGACAGAGAAGCAGAGAAGGAGTGGTCAGAGAGGGAGGAGGAGAAAAGAGAGACAGAGACAGAGACAGAGACAGAGACCAAGAAAGAAGAGAGGGTGTCCTGAAAATCTAGAGAGAAGCAAGCATCAAGGAGAAGTGTGGTGGACAGTGTCCAGGGCTGCAGAGAGGTCAAGGAGAATGAGGACTGAGCAAAGGCCGCTGGGTTCAGCAGCTAAGAGATCATTAGTAATGCGAGTGAGAGGAGAGAAAGTGGAGGTGCCTGTGGTAGATATGCATTGGCCTTTTCAAGGAGGTTGGTTACAAAGGGCAGAAGATACATAGGATCATAGGAGGGATGGAGGGACTATGGGAAGGTTTGCTTTCAGGACGAGAGAGCCATGGGCATGTTTGTGGGCTTTGGAAATGAGCAGGTAGAGAGGGAGAGATTAATAAGTCAAAGAGCGGGGATGCCCAAGGGGGCAGTGTGCTTAAGGAGATGGGATGGAATGGGATCACTTGGACAAGCAGAGGGTCAGCGTTGGTAAGGAGTGAAGCCGCCTCATCACGTGAGACGGGGAGGAGGAGAGAGGGGCCCGGTGGAGTCCCCAAGTGGCAGTTCCAGTGTATACATGCTATCAATCAGTTTCCATCTTTTATTAAGGACTTTACCAGTGACACCAGCCTCCTCACTGTTCTTCCCATAAGACACTGCCACGTCCTGCTCGCTCATTTTCGTTGGCTGGTCCCCATGCCTAGAATTCTCTCCTCCTTCCTTCAGATCGCAGCTAAAATCTCACCTTCTGCACGAAGCCTGTCCGGATCCTCCATGATGCCAACGCCTTCTCTCCGTTGCTCGTCTCCAATTTATCCTGTCTATATGCCGTCTATATCGTTTGTACACAGTGGTTTGCATGTGGTCTCTCCCCCAATTAGACTGTGAGCCCCTTGAGGGCAGGGACTGTCTTTTTGCCTTTTATTGTATCCCCTGTGCTTAGCACAGTGCCTGGCACATAGTAGGGGCTTAATAAATACCTGTTGACTTGAACCAGTCCCTGTGCTTGGGCAGCTTACATTCTGGTGGAGGATACAACATAGTAGTATATACAAAACCTAGGAACAGGGGTAGGGATGGGACCTGTGATTTCGCTGACACCTCTCAGGTGGGGAAACTCCCTTCACTAATTCATTTCTGCTCTCTCTGTCTCTGTGTCTCTCTCTGTCTCTTCCTCCCTCTCTCTCTCTCTCTCTCTCTCTCTCTCTCTCTCTCTCTCTCTCTCTCTCTCTCTCTCTGTGTGTCTCTCTCTCTATATGTATGTATGTGTATATGTGTGTGTGTTGTGTGTGTGTGTGTGTGTGTGTGTGTGTGTGTGTGTGTGTGTATGTTTCATAGGGGAGACTTGAACTCAGCTCTTCCTGGCTCTGAGAGCTGGCCTCTCTGTCCACTCCACCAGGGCTGTCTCACATACACAGAACATTCTCAACATATATACAAAGAAAACACAAGGTGATCTTTAGGGGCAGTCAGGCACTAGCATCTAAGGGGACAGATCACCTCTCAGCTCAAACTCTCCAAGGAGATGCTAGGGAGGCAGAGAGGCAGAGCTGAGGCGTGAGACAGGAGACGGGAGGCAGCTGGTTTGGCAGGATTGTGGGGTTTGGGAAGGGCAGGCCCGAAGGCTATAAATGCCGGATGGAAGGGTGTGTAGTTGACCCTAGTGACCCTGGAGGCATTGGAACATATTGCAGGTGGAGTGATTTTGTAAGACCTGACCTTTAGAAATATCACTTTGGCAGCTAGGGGGTGATATAGTATATAGAATGATGGGCCTAGAGTCATGAAGACTCATCTTCCTGAGTTCAAATCTGGCCTCAGGCACTTACTTAGCTGTGTGACTGGGCAAATCACTTAACCTCTTTGCCTCAGTTTCCTCATCTGTAAAGTAGGGACAATAATAGTATCTCCTGCCCAGGTTTGTTCTGAGGACAAAATGAGATAATATTTGGAAAACATTCTGAAAAACTTAAAGAGTTATAGAAATGTTACCTGTTACTATATCACTAATACCCTGTGGAATCTGCAGGTGAATGGGGAGTGAGCTTGTACAGAGAGGGTAGTGCACCACCTGGTGGTGCATGCAGATCATTGCTCTCAGCAGCTATCTCAGCCCAGCTCTGCCCCATCTCCAGGTGCCATACGTCCTTGTAAAAGGGGGTCAGGGGAGGGGAAGGGCAGCAAGTACTTTCTGACACTTATTTGTGACATTCATTTATCCTTCTCCCATTAGACTGGAGTTTTTTGAGAGCAGAGACTCCTATCTTTGTACCTCTGTCACAAACACAAGGACAGAATGGCTGAATAGATGCTTACTGAATTAAGACACCCAGAAAATAAAACATCTTCTTGGCTCAGGAAGAACCTCCTGACCTTTGGTTAGGGAGAAAGAATCCTCCCCCTTCCCCCACTCTTCCCTCCTTCCTACCCAGAGAAGATGCTCATGTTCCGAGACCATGCTGGCTAGAGATGGTTATAGAGAAAGCAGGGAGGGCTTCCTGGAGGAAGTGGGACAGAATGAGAGGTTTCCAGGAGCTCAGAGAAGGAAGAAAACCCCTGGGCTGGAGCACAGGGTGAAGAATAAAGAGATGGAAAGGAAGATGGGAAGGAAGGAGAAGGAAGGAGGCTAGGAGGCTGGGGAAGGCAACCTCAATCAGTACCTGCATCTTCAGATAGTGGGGTCAGGAGTGGGGGTCCAATTTCCTGTTCCACCTCCTCCAGTTCATCTGCCTTCTCCCCTTCCTCCCCCAGCTCCTCTTCCTCCTCAGACTTCTGGTTGGGATTCACCCAGGTGCAGCGACCCTAGGGAGAACCAGACCTGGGTCAGGGCCCCAAAGCCCTCAGTCTCCTAGGAGGTCAGAGGCGGGGAGTACCGGGGTTCTGCACACCCAGGGAATCTTTGGGAAGGTCCAGAGAATCAGGGATCATGTTACTGGTGGGCCCAAGAGCTCCCCTGCCCCACCCCCTCCTTTCCTGTGCCACCCTTCTACCTCTAAATCTGTGAGCCCCTGATCCCATCTACTGAAAAATGAGCTCAGAGTTCTCCCTGGTACCATGAAGACGCGCCTGGGTTGTGAGCCTGAGATTCTGAGTTCAAATACTACTTTTGCTACTTAGCAGAGTAAGTACCGGCCTGGAGTCAGGATGAGCTGAGATCTAATCCTTCTTCATGCTATCTGTATGAGCCTGGGCAAGTCACTTAACCACTCTCAGCCTCAGTTTCCCTGCTCGTAAAATGGGGATAATATTAGCACCTACCTCCTGGAATTATTGTGAAAAGCAAAGGAGATGTATGTAAAGCACTTTGCTAACCTTAAAGCCTCGAGGAAATACCACTACTGCTACTACTGCTGCTACTGTTATTGCTACTGCTTTCTGCGACTGCTACTGTTACTACTACCACCACTACCAACTATTACTCCCTGTGTGATCTCGGGCAGCAATAGCTAGCACTAATAAGGGCTATATTTCCGAGGCTCCTTAAAAGTGGCAAAGCGGCTTTCCCTCGGTCGTCCGACTCGGGGGAGTCGCCGAAGGGGCAGGTCCACTGCCCCCCGCCCCCCTCCGCGCCCCGCGCGCATCCTTGGCTCTCCTTCCCCGCTCCCCGCCGGTCCCCGTCCTACCTGGGGCAGGATGTGCTGGGTGTGGTGCACCCAGTTGGCCAGCGAGTCCACGAGCTCGGCCACGGGGATGCCCTCGAAGTCCGGGTTCTCCTCGTAGCTGTCGCGCCCGGCACCGCCCTCCTCCTCCTCGTCGCCCTCCTCCTCCCCGAACTGGTAGAAGCCGAGCGGGCTGATCTGGGTGCCCGCGGAGATGCGCGCGATCTGCGCCCGCAGGTAGCTGGCCTCGGTGCCCGGGAAGGGCGGGTAGCTGACGATGGGCGTGTCCAGGTGGCCCGTGAAGAATTTCTTGATCTTGCGCGCGTTGACGATCTGCGCGGGCGTGACGTGGGGCAGCTTGGTCCAGGGGCGTCCGGGCTCGTTGCACACGAAGTACAGGTACTTGTTGGCCCCCGTGCGGCTGTCCTCGCGGGGGATCACGGGCGGCGGCTTCCACGTGGGCTTGGGCGGCTCGTCCACATCCTTCTCCTCGTCCTCCTCGCCCTCCTCCTCGCCGCGACCCTCCATCCCCTCGCCCGCCCCTTCCACCAGCTCCTCGGCCTCCTCCTCTTCCTCCTCTTCCTCGCCTTCGCGGAATTCCACCTCGGCCACCAGGTAGTTGCGCTGCAGGCCCAGGATCTTGCCCCAGAAGCGGCACTTCTGCACGGGCTGCTGCTCCACCAGCTGCTTGAGGGACAGGAAGATGCGGAAGGTTTCGTCTGAGTTCAGCCCCACGCCCGCCTGCTCGAAGTAAAAGGCCGACTCGATGATGTTGGGCACGGGGATCTCTGTCTGTGAGAGGGGAAGGGAAGGGGGGGACGACTCAGAGCTCTGCTCCCAGGCACAGCACGTCCGAGGGGGATGTGGGAGCGCCCGAGGGACCGGCTAGCCCAAGAGTGAAAGGGAGAGCACCCGAGAGACCGGCTGGCCCAAGGGGAAAAGGGGGAGTGCCCGAGAGACCCAAGGGGAGAAGGGGGAGCGTCCGAGAGACGGGCTGGCCCAGTCCTGCCCCCTTGCCACCGGTTTACAGAGGAAAAGATGGATGGATGGACCAAGGACCCCCAGCTAGCTGGCTAGGGTCAAGTCCGGGTCTTGATACTCCAGCTTCAGCTCTGCTCTCCCACACTGGAAAGGGTGTACAGGTTTGCTCCTGCCTTGACTGACGCCCTATAACCCTCTAGCTCCCCAGTGCTTGGCACACAGAGTAGGCACTTAATAAATGCTTGTGGATTCATTGGAAGGCACTTGTAGACTTTATCCAAACCAGACTCCTGCAGAGAAGTAGAAGACTGGGGTAGCACACACACACAGTGAGGAATCAGACGGGCTATAAGGGCTTCAGGACATAGAACCTTCATCGTAGAAGGGACTATAAGATGTGGGAGCCGGAGAGAAACCTTAGAACATGGAACGTCAGAGCTGGGAGTGATGGGTTGCTTGGGTGCCTGTGCTTGGACCTGAGTTTCTCTCTGGCCTCAGAAACACTAGCCCTAGCAGTTTCCCTCCAGCCCAAGGACCCTTTCTCTGGCAATAACTCATGAGTGGGCCCAGTGAGGCAAGCTATCTCTCCCTTTACAAGAACAAGCAGACCTCTGTAGAATTTCCCTTGTTTTGTCTTGTATCGACAAAACTATCATGTACTGATTCCCAGTTACCATATATGATCCAGAGATGAAGCTATAGACGTCAATTCCTGAAACTATCCAGTTTAGACATAACTGACTAAAAACACACCCCTTAGGAAGACCCCCCCCTTCCAGTAGGAAATGATGCCTGTGACCAAGGTTGTATGTTATCACTTAATTAGCATATTTGCTGCATAACCCACTGCTTTTCCTATGTAAGCCTTGACATCATTCCTGTTAGATTGCAAGTTTCCTAAAGAGCTCTGCCCACCATGGCAGGTTCCTTGAGAATCCTTATCCACAATACAGCATAACAATAAATCTTTGCCACCTTGACTTAATGCTTGAGTCTGTGAATTCATTCCAGACAACCCTGTCCTGTACTCCCGTTTTTGAGGGATCTCTGAACCTCTCAGACCTCAACAGGAGGGCTATTAGAATAGGGAATGTCAGAACTGGGAAGGCCCGTAGAACAAGAAACGTCAGAGGTGAGAGGGCCCTTAGAACCTGGAAGGTCAGAGCTTGGGAGGCCCTTAGAATATGGAGTAGAGATTATCCCAGCCTGAATCCCATATTCACAACCTCTCTGAGTTGGAAAGTAGCTCAGATGTCAGCGAGCCAGACTCCTATCTGAAGGAGAATCCCTTCTACAGAAGGATTCTACCAGAGAGATAATAGTCACTAATAAAGCAAAGTCCTTGATGGTGAAGGAAGGGAGGTGGGGTGGGTGGGGTGAAGCAAGAATTTCAAAGCTTAAGGCACCTTAGACAATGGGAAGGTTGTTGTGAATGAAAGTGACATAACTTTACTGAGTCAGAAATAACAAAGAAATAACAAAAGAGATGACTTCAGGCTATATTGGGAAGTAGGAACTGAAGGACAGGCAGGACACAAAACTAGAACAATTTCTCCAAAGACAACAAGTAAAATAAAAGAACGTGGGTGGGCCCGCCGATGAGCTCTGAAGCAGGCCCTGAGCTGCCCTGCCTCTAAAGGACCTGGGAGGAGTGGGGAGGCCACCTACTGTCCCAGCATGGCCTCCAAGGGCTCAAAGACACTCGAATGTTAGTCCACAGCCGCCTGGTGGATTTCTTTCTGCTAGACTATGCTTATTTGTTACAAGGATTGATTTTCTTTTATTTCTCTCAGTTTTACTGATGCTAAAGATTAAAAAAAAATGCCTCTGAAACATTTTTTTTTTCAAAGCACAGAAGAAACCAAAAGGATATTCAGAAGGAAGCAAAGAAAAGCTGGGCAGTTTTCAAAGTAAGGTGAGGAATTTATTATATCTTTTTCATTTTTATTTTTTTTATATAGCACTTTAAGTTTTCTTTTTTTCAATGTATTTTTATTAATTAATTAATTCATTCATTTTGAGCTTTTAACATTCACTTCCACAAGATTTTGAGTTCCAAATTTTCTCCCCATCTCTTTCCTCCCCCATGCCAAGATAGCATGCATTCTGAATACCCCTTCCCCCAATCTGCCCTCCCTTCTATCACCCTCACCTTTCTTTTATCCCCTTCCCCTTCTATTTTCCTGTGGGACAGTATAGATTTCTATACTCCATTGCCTGTATATCTTATTTTCCAGTTGCATGTAAAAACAATTTTTAACGTTCGTTTTTAAAACCTTGAGTTCCAAATTCTTTCCCTTCCTCCCTCCCCCACCCACCTTCATTGAGAAGGCAAGCAATTAGATACAGGTTATACATGTGTAATCATGTAAAACACTTCCATAATAGTCATATTGTGAAAGACTAACTTTCCCTCCATCCTATCCTGCCCCTCCCTTTATTTATTCTGTTCTCTCCTTTGACCCTGTCTCCCCTCAAAAGTGTTTGCTTCTGATTACCCCCTCCTCCAATCTGCCCTCCCTTCCATTATCCCCCATCTCTTATCCCCTTCTCCACTATTTTCCTATAGAGTAAGATAGATTTCCATATCCAATTGAGTGTGTATGTTATTTCCTCCTTAAGCCAAATTCAATGAGAGTAAGATTCACTCATTCCCTCTCACCTCCCCCCCCTCTTCCCTTCCACTATAAAAACTTTTTCTTTCCTCTTTTATATGAGATAATTTACCCCATTCTACCTCTCCCTTTCTCCTTCTCCCAGTACGATCCTCTCTCACCCCTTAATTTTATTTTTTAGATATCAGCTCTTCATATTCAACTCACCCTGTGCCCTCTGTGTATATATATATTTCCTCCAACTACCCTAATACTGAGAAAGGTCTCATGAGTTACAAATATCATTTTTCCATATAGGAATGTAAACAGTTCAACTTTAATAAGTCCCTTATGATTTTTCTTTCCTGTTTACCTTTTCAAGCTTCTCTTGAGTCTTGTATTTGAAAGTCAAATTTTCTATTCAGCTCTGGTCTTTTCATCAAGTATGCTTGAAAGTCCTCTATTTCATTGAATATCTATTTTTCCCCTAAAGGATTATACTCAGATTTGTTAGATAGTGATTCTTGGTTTTAATCCTAGATCCTTTGACCTCTGGAATATCATAATCCAAGCCCTTTGATCCCTGAATGTAGAAGCAGCTAAATCTTGTACTATCCTGATTGTGTTTCCACAATACTTGAATTGTTTCTTTCTGGCTGCTTGCAATATTTTCTCCTTGACCTGGGAACTCCGGAATTTAGCTGTAATATTCCTAGGAGTTTTTCTTTTGGGATCTCTTTCAGGAAGTGATTGATGGATTCTTTCAATTTCTACTTTATCCTCTGGTTCTGAAATATCAGGGCAGTTTTCCTTGATAATTATTTGAAAGTTGATGTCTAGGCTCTTTTTTTGGTCACTGTATTCAGGTAGTCCAATAATTTTCAAATTATCTCTCCTGGATCTGTTTTCCAGGTCAGTTGTTTTTCCAATGAGATATTTCACATTGTCTTCTATTTTTTCATTCTTTTGGTTTTGTTTTAATAATTTCTTGATTTCTCATAGAGTCATTAGCTTCCATCTGCTCCACTCTAATTTTTAAGGAATTATTTTCTTTAGTGAGCTTTTGGACTTCCTTTTCCATTTGGCCAATTCTGCTTTTTTAAGGCATTCTCCTCATTGGCTTTTTGGACCTCTTTTGTTATTTGGGGTAGTCTATTTTTTAAGATGTTATTTTCTTCAGTATTTTTTGGTGTCCTTTAGCAAGCTGTTGACTTGTTTTTTATGATTTTCTTGCATCCCTCTCATTTCTCTCCCCAGTTTTTCCTCTACTTCTCTTATTTGCTTTTCAAAATTCTTTTTGAGCTCTTTCATGGCCTGAGATGAATTCATATTTTTCTTGGAGGCTTTGGATGTAGGAGCTTTGGCTTTGTTGTCTGCTTCTGGTTGTCTGTTTTGATCTTCTTTGTCACCAAAGAACGATTCTGTAGTCTGAGTTTTTTTTCTCTGTTTGCCCATGTTCCCAGCCAATTACTTGACTTTTTAACTCTTTGTTAAGGTAGGGGTCTGCTTCCAGTGAGGAAGGTATACTGTCCCAAGCTACAGAGGTTTTGTGCAGCTGTTTTCAGAGATACTTCTAGGGACTTGTACATTTTCAGTTCTTCCAAGGTAGTGTTTACTAAGGGGCGAGCTGCTTACTCCTTTCCTGGCCTGTGCTCTAGTCTAGTCTAGCACTCTTTTCTGTCTTGGAACGGTGAGGAGGCTTTCCTCTCCACTGCCACCACAAGCTCCACCATGCCAGTGCTTGTTCCTGCCTTAGGACCACCCCCCAGAACTGTGACCCAGATCCAAGCACGGGCAAAGCAAGAGAATCTTGGCTCAGCACCAGCAAAGGGATCACTGCAGTCCCCTTCTGATCAACTGCTCAATCCCCCCACTGTCTGTGAGCCAAGAGCTCCAGAAGCAGCCACCATCTCTGCCACCCTGGGGCTGGGCCAGGGCTGGGGCTGGACTGTGCTCCTCTCTCACCCAGGTCCGACAGACCTTTCCCACTGACCTTCTAAGTTGTTTTGGCATTTGTGGGTTGAGAAGTCTGGAAGCCACCACAGCTGCCTGTGATTCAGATAGAACCTGAGGCCTGCTCCATCTTTGCCTGCGCGGCCCATGCTGAACTTCACTCCTCTCCCAGTAGAACAGACCTTTTCTGTCAACCATCCAGGTTGTCTTGGGCTGGAAATTTGTTTCACTCCCTCTTTTTGTGGGTTCTGCTGCTCTAGAATT